TTACTGCATATAATAATAATCTTAAAAAAAATATATAAAAAACTTTTAAAGTATAAACAGCGTTTAAAGCGGTCAAGTTTCAAACATTTATAATTCCTGAAATTGCTGCTTATATATATATTTTTTTTTAAATAAATATAATAACTGCTAATTTTATACGAAAAGTATATTTGCACTTGATTCGGAGCAAGATCACACCATCAAGCCATGCAACTGTGGAAATATTTGCCTGTTGGTATAAATATGTTGTATTACAATTTTGTATTAAAGTTCTGGATTTTTACAGACGCAAGTAAATTATGACGAACTGAATTTCATATTATACACGTACATTAATACTGAGTTTATGGTTTAGATATTCTCAATAACGTTCTTAGCTTACCAGCCCAATGCGTATATCGAAACGAAGTTTGGCCTTGTAAGTTATCATTTTCTTGCTGGCTGCAAGGTGGAAAGAATGCTGCTGGCTGTGGTTCCAACAAGTGGTTTTTCTCGTGTTGCGTTACTGAGGAAAATGTGAGTTCTCCGGAAAATGCATTTCTTAGTAACTTTCGAATCGAAACCAAGAATATTTTAAATATCGCAACGAATAACGTCATAAAACGTAAAATTAAGCTTGGGCTCAGTTTGAAGGTCAGTGTAAGTTTATTTTCCATAATCATAATAATTTGCACATTATCATAATAATATATGGTAATAATATGCATTTAATACGTCTGTATTCCAGAAAATACAAAATAGTTTAGGATTCAATTCTGAACGAGATTCAATTTTGAACATTTTTATGTACATATTATAAATTAGTCAATTTTAATTGTCTATTAAAAAATGCATTCTATCACTTAATTAAAATAATATAAAAATGAATTTTATATTTGAAATACACTACTTTTCGAAAACATCTTTATAAAATATACTAGTTGCTATTAAATATTGTAGTCATTTCCGTCTTAAAAATGACATTAGTTTAGATTAGTTTAGATTTTAAGATGGGTTTGGGAACTTGTCACCACGCCACTGCGGGGACTTTGAGGGGACTATTGTGACATACCCACTTTAGTTCTATAGACGAGTATCAGTTAATAACGCCATTTTATCCTTTGGAGAGATGTTGCCTTATTCCGTTATAAGTGGATAGGCAGTGTATAAGTACGGAAGCCTGAATATGGCGTGACTATTACAGTGACACAGAATATGTTCTGCTGTTTCCTTTTTTTCGCAACAAAGTCTGCATCTATCGTCTCTATTAATATCTAGGTTTGATAGATGCTTTTTATCTCCGCAATGCCCAGTGAGAAACCACTGATAAGTCGAATGCCACTTCTGTTCAGCATAAGTAGCTCCCTAGTTCTGGCTTATGATCGATACGGCATGGTTTCCTTAGCTTGTCTGCAGGCAATTGCATTATCGGAATGAGTCTGAGAGATTGTCTTACCCTGACTTACCCTGATGTGACTGGCTGATAAGCTGGAACTTAGTGGACGATCTTTACCGCCACCTACTCTCTGAGACGCTAGAATATTATTAAGCCATTCAGATCTTACCAGCTTGCAAAAACATGAATCTAACTACTGACTAACTACTACAGAATACTAACAAATTACTATTTACAACCGACTAACTATTAAAAACACAGACATAGACTACAAGACAATACGTTCTACCTTAACCTACTGGTAGATCTTGGTTGCACTTTTTGCTCTAATCTGAATCAATATTCTAGTTAGTAACATCAGTAATATCACTGACTAGAACATTAATCAGAGTAGCTCAATTTATATCTAAGCCCCTACACCACGACAAGGTGCCTATCACGTAGAGAAAAATTCAATTACCATAATTAAAATAATATAAAAATGAATCATATGGATGTTATAATTTCTATTAAACTACTCTTTGATTCTTTGTCTCCTTGTGGTAAAAGTGGTCACTATCAGTGATTTTGATTTTATTTAAACACTATCAATGATTTTGATATTATTCTAATTAAGTGCCTCAAAAATTGAGGTTGAGGATTAGGTTCTATGTATTATTGTAAAAAACTAGTTTCGGAATGTGTTCAATACAATGAAGTGTAGTTCGAAAAGTAAGTAATTTAGTTATACATTTCAGTAAATTACTGAGACTTGAATTGTATATTATACTCAAATGTTAAACTGCGTTTATGGTTTGATAGTTTTTAATACCGTTCTTAGCTTACCAACACTCAGAGAAATTTTATTAAATTTATATTATTATTTCCTTATACATAGAGTATAATTCTTGAATGCAAATTCTGTACAACCATTTTAGAACTTGCATTAAAGCTTGATGTTTATATGCATGACTCAAAGGTGTATATAAATAAAATTTAAAGATGACAGCTGATATATAAACTCGTTTAAGTAGTCTCAATGGCACTTTTCAGTTTAATGTGCAGATGTAGACAAGTTATCAGTTTTAAGTACAATAACATCTCGATTTGCGTCATTAATTAGGATCCAACGCAAATCGAATCACCTACATATTTAATTTTTAAAACTATTCGAAGTTTAATTCGAAGTCAAAACTTATTTTTTTTTGGTGACATAGTTCGAATTAACGCAAATCGGGGTATTAGTGTATATTTTTACCGTATGAATCAACCTATTTTTAAGTTCAACTTATAAGTATGAAATTCACTCAAAAAAAGTAATCGAAACCGAATCATGCGTATTTCGTAGCCCAATGTACTTTCGGAAAATGCTTAAAAAGAATAGTATTAAAATTTCACAATTAAAAATAAAAATATGATTAATTAATTCAATTATTCTACCTATAAATGGTTAATGATTTTGTTTTAATAAAAGACAGCAAGTAAATTTGTTAATGAACTTTCAAAGCAAATTAACAAAACTTCAAGTTCGATCATTAAAACCAAGAACGGCTTTGGGTCAGTTGGCTAATGAACGCTGACTCTGAGCTTCAAATTTGAGAGGGTGTAAGTACAACTCTTGGTACTTGCAGTCTCAAAAAATTATTTAAGAATAATAAAATACAAGAAATTCTGGGTATTTGGCAACACTCGAAACAGCTGGATGCTCATCCAAATATTCAATTAATTAATTAATAATAACATATAAAAAAATGTTTGTTGTTGCAATTTCACTACTGTTTGATAAAATACTCTCTATTGAAAAGAACAGTTCCTATTAAGAGTGTAGTTACTTTCGTCAAAACGGACGTTAAATTTAATTTCAAAAAGCTTGAAGCAATATTAGTTACATCACATCACAATGATTTGATTTGAACCAAATTGAATTTTTAAACTTAGATCAATGTTTAACGTTCAAGTAGATTCAGTAGATTCAAAATGTCAAGAGAGTACAAGGATAACGAGTAAATAAAATATAATGATCAGTGCCTATCTCAGCACCCCTCTTCACACGAACGTCTAGCAGCGATGACCTCCATTGAGCATCAATTAAGAGTTGGTCTATTTAATTCTTTGTTCTCCCGCCTGGAGAAACCCAAGTTACTTTGTGTGATGTTTTGTGTGCGAAAAGGGAGCTACCGATTACCAGATTAGCCTCGAAGCACATCTCGATAAGTCTGTTTCCATTGTCGTTTCGGGAAATGGACACCCCATGTATTTTTCTAAATGGATGTTTTCGCAGCCAATCTGTGCGTTAAAATCTCCAACACTAAAAGAATATCTCCGTTTGAAGAATATATATTTATACACCTTTCAAGCTGATCATAGAAATCGTTTTTGCATTTATCGTCTTGAAGTTTTGTGGGAGCATACCAGTTGACAATGGTCATGTTACGTGTACGCGTTTTGAGTTTAATGACTATTATTCTTGAGCAGACTGGATTCCATTCTAATATCTCCTGAGCAATCTTTGATGATAGAAGAAAATCTACTTCATTAACATGAGCAGATCCTTCTGGTTCGCCTGAATAAATAAACAAACTATCTTTGTGTTTGATCGAGCCATTACCATTCCACATTCTTGTTTTGCCAAAATGTCAATTTTATAGCGAGCCATCTCACTTCTAAGTTGTTGGAGTTTACCAGCCTCATTTAAAGTGCGTACATTCCATGTTGCGACGGATATTATTTTCATGAAGATGCTTATTCTACCCACACGATTCGATGTTGTTAAAGCATGGATTTGGCACCTCCAAATTACTCAAATAGCGATTACCCCTTGGACAACTTATTCCGTTTTCGTTTGACTCCATGCTGAAGAAATTTCGTTGGTTTCACACAAGGCGGTGAATGATGGGTCCATGGCCCAGCGATATTCCGACGTGGTACACGTTTATATAGCGATCCGCTTATTACAAGTCCGACGACCGCTTTCAGCTGCACCTTACATGGTAAACAGACGCTGAAATAGACACACCATTAGAAACTTGGCGCCGTTGACCATACTGTTGTTGATTCGTCCGCCGCCTTGAAATTCCACGCTGCCCCTGTTTGATGACAAAGTTTGCTTCTCCGGCCTATTTGGTCCACGGGAGGTATTAATTTCTAGTTTTTTTTTGTTTTCTCAATAAAATTCTTTTGTTATTAATAAAATACCATACTTTTAAGAGTTGCAATTCAATTATGCCACGTAATACGTTTGATTTGCGCTTGTATAATTTACTTTGTTTTTATTATTTTAATTAAAATTAACTAATTAAACTTTTAGCACCGGTGTGGTAAAGCCAAAACATTTCGCAATACCTTACAAAAACGTATAATTGGGGGTAGACCAGCGATGTTCGCAGAATATCCATGGCAAGCGCATATTAGAGTTTCTGAATACCAATGTGGTGGTGTTTTGATTTCTAATGAATTTGTTGCTACTGCTGCGCATTGCATACAACAGGTTAAACTTCAGGATATAATTGTGTATTTAGGTGAACTGGACACTCAAGATATGGGTCTCATATATGAACCACTACCAGTTGAAAAACATAATGTGACAGAGAAAATAGTTCACCCGTACTTTCAATTCCGAATGACTCAACCAGACCGTTATGATGTTGCATTGCTGAAACTGGATAAAGCCACACATTTCAGGTAATTATAAAATGAGTTTACTTATGTATGTATATATGCACAATGTACATATTTGGTGATATAAAAAGTATTCGCCGTAATTTTTCTAAAGATTAACATATATTGGCCATTATATTTTTTGACAGTTTGTCATTTTTCTGATAGTTTCGTGACTCCGTCGGTGTAGAACCTCTGGGGTATATTGGCGGAAAACTTGATCAAGTGATTTAAGCGGATCTTCGGTCGTCCATGATTTCACCCCGAAGAGAGTCATGTAGAGACTGAAATAAATGGTAGTCAGATAATGCAAGGTCTGGATTATATGATGGATGCATCAGAGCCTAATAACCAAGTTTGGTCAATTTGTTCCGGGTTCCATCTGTAATGATTGAATACAACGTATTTCCTGTTGGCTTTTCCTTGATTGTTTCTTTGAAGCAATGATTCTCTTTAAATTATTTGATTCAGTGCGTTTCATCAGTATTTCATTGCTGGTAATTCGGTTACACAAATTTCTTTGCGTCAATTTATGTAGCATCTTTGCGTACCCTATTGAAATGATTTTATTAACCACATGTTTACTGTCTCCACTATCTCTTTCAGTGGCGTAACTACATTTTTTGGGCCCCTAAGCAAATTCTAACTAAGGACCTCCTACTAACATCTTTTTATACCCTTTAAACGAAAAAGTGTTAAAAGGGTATATTAGACTTGTCAAGATTTTCGTAACGCATTAAAGGAAACGGCGAAAATACCATAAAGTATATATCAGTATATGTATATATATACTTTTTTAGTTCAAACTACTCTCTCAGCTTTTGAATTCTTCGAATGAAAGTTTACACACATACTTTTCGGAAGCGGTACCTGTTCAACATTTGATTTGAATGAAATTGGCCTACTAATTCTTATAGATGTATGTATTTTTATTTTTCCTAACAAATTTTTCCAATCCCGAAATCCAGAACACCATCGATTTGTTTGATTAGAAAATAACCAGCACGGCTTACAATATACTGAATCCAATAACTTTAAATAGTATAACCAAAGTCGTGGCACTGTTCCATATTTTGTTTTTAAATTAATAGTATGAATAGTATGAAGCATTGAAACTTCTATTTTCTTGAATAGGATCCTTTAAAGATTTTCTTGAAATTACAAATTCAACCTTGTTCAAAAACCAAAATTTATGTTGTTTCAACAAAAAACGTTTTGTCCCACATTTGAGAATTTATTAAAAATAAATATAATGAATACATAAATTTATAATGGGACCCCCTAAGTTCGGGGGCCCGAAAGCGTTGCTTTCAGTCGCTTCCTTGTAGTTACGCCACTGATCTCTTTACAACCTGCGTGATGGTTTCGCTCCTGTAGTTGCAAAATATCATTGATATTGACATGGAATTTTTTTTGGCATCCGGTATTATCCGGTATTTAAAGACAACATATTTACCGTATTTTTTGACCTGTTTTTTACTCTATCATATAGTAATAATACATGTTATTGCGTATTTCTTTAGGTATTTCACTCATTTTCAAATCAATATAAAATTCAAAATATACGACGCGTTTTCAAACACATATTGGTTTGACATAATACCATTAGTGTTCTCAGATATATGTGTATCAAAATCGTTTACTAACAAAAAATGGCATTGGCTTTTTACGTTACCTGATATATTAATATAAATCCAGAATTGAGTGAAGTAATCTCACTCAATCTATTTCGCAGTAATCATATACAACCAATTTGTTTGCCGCAAAATTCGTTTGATCTTATTGGACGTACTGGTATTATAGCTGGATGGGGGAAAACTGAAGCAAGTTACGGCATATCTGGTACCAATGTACTTCATGTAGCTAAAGTGCCGATCATAAGTATAGTCATATATTTTTTGTTATTTTGAAATTAAAAGAATTTCATCTTATTTATATAGGTACGGCAGAATGTATTCGATGGCATAAAGCAAAATACATAAATGTTGAAATCTTTAGTGAAATGTTTTGTGCAGGATACCCAAACGGAAACCAGGATGCTTGTTTAGGTTAAAACTATCAATAATATAAAAATTTCATCAAAAATTGAATTAAATATTTGGAATCTTAACTTGCAGGTGACTCCGGCGGACCTCTTGTCATAAAAGAACATGACCGTTTTATCCTTATTGGTATTACTAGTGCAGGTTTTGGTTGTGGAATTGATCACCAACCTGGAATATATCATAATATCCAGAAGACGTCAAAGTGGATTGAAGATGTTATTACAGGATATATATAAGTTTCAATAATTATAATTTTTAACTAATAGATAGCATTTTAATATAGAATAAACGCATCACTTTAGTACAAACTTAACTACGGAAACAACTAGCTTTTTTATAAGAATCGCCGATGAATAAGCTGAAGAGTACTATTAATCAAGCTAAAGCAATAATTTTTTTATTTTTTCACACTCCTAAGAGCATAGAAGGGTCTCTGTATAATATTGTACCTTCATTGTTTCACATTCTTTGAAATATGCCATTTGCAACCAAGAAATAAAACCTTCTTTTGTCAGAAATTGGAATTCATCATGGAATTGTCTTTACTTTATTTGGAGCACCTTCATCAGGAGAAATTGAAAGTTTCTGGAGAAACGAAAAAATCATTTGTTTCTGGAGAAAGAACACTTAAAAATCAACATAAAAACTTTTTGGAAATGTGCTGAAATAATTCTAGCATAATTTCTAGTAGAAACTGTTAACCGTAGTACAATCATAAAGATTCGATAATTGAAATGAAATGGGTATCAATGGGTATCAAGTACTTAACATACATAAGGTTTATTGAAATAAGTAATTGGATTTAGTTCTAAGTAGATAATAGGTAGATATAAGTTTAATAAAAGTGTTCTTATATTAAAGAAATAATGTTGAGCAGAAAGGCTTTTATTTTTTCCACTTCTTCTTTATAGCAACTAAAAATAATATTTATTTATATTGTTCGTATATTAAATAAATTTTCTATAATATATTTGGTTTTATATTTAGTTTATTTAATAAAACACGGATATCATAATATTTAAGTGCCAATATAATGGTAAAATAATTATTGCTTTCCTATATCATTGCTTATCATGCTATATGACTAAATCACTCGCCACATTGCTCTAAGTTATATAGCTCCGGTTTCTCCTATGCAAAAAAATCGGTTAAATGCGAAATAATTAGGTAGATATGTTCTTAATCGGTTCTTGTAGTGAGCGAAATTAATTTAATTTTTGTCGGATTTAAAGGAGCTAACATAAATGAAATAATAATATTTTCTGCAGTTGCATTGGAAATTCAGGAGAATCTTTAAAATTTTCTTGATTTCCAGTTTCTAAACATAGTCAAAAATAAAATATCGTCGATTTTCAATTTGTCTACTTCCGAAGAAGTCACTTAACAATATTTGAAAACAATAATCTCTTTAGAGAAGCATTTGGGTATTTACGAGTTAACAGAATATTCATCTTTATAAATACTATCTTAAACTTTTACTATATCTTTGTATCCTTTATTTCATTTATTTCGACATTCCATAAGAAAGTCCTTACGATCCAAAAGAAACAATGAATTATTGACACTATGTTTTAAAGTTAAATCTTGTGACTCTAATTTTTGTATAGCTATTGGAATAAAGGAAAAATTTTTTAACTGAATAAGTTTACATCTTTAATTACTTAGTTAAAATGCGTTATTAGGCATTCTAACAGCCCCGAAATCGCTCTAAATCAGTTGATCAGTCCTCAAAATAGTCAAAATAAGAATTTAAAAAAACTAGCAATATCAAATCTTATCGGTATCTTGGGATTAGAATTCCGCTTATAATATATTTTATTTACCTTAATATGCAAAATACTTTTATTCTTTCGTTTATTCCCGCTCTAGTCATAACATATGACTCATAAGCATACAAAATAGTAATTACTTCATTTCAGGAAAAGAAATATACTTTCTTAAAATTCTGAAAACACATTTTTAACGATATCTTAAAAATAGCATTAAAGATTTGCAGAGTACTGAAAGAATTGCGCCCATCTACAGAAATAAAAACCAAGATAATTTGGTGTGGTCACTTTAAAAAGGTAGTAAGTTAATTCCAAAATAATCATGTTTCGGTATAACCAGAGTTCACAAGTCTTGTTAGGACAAAAAACTTACGCCTGATAGGCAAAGTTCTTTCATACATTTCGGATATATGGTATAAACAACAACTATGCAGACTAGATTTCTGTTAGAAAGAATTGATAGTTATAGGTCAATCTTTCGTTATTTGGTAAGTTATGGTTAATAGTACAATATATTTAATACTGTTAAGATTTGGTTAAGTATTTTACATTTCTCTTCTTCTTTTTCTCTTTGTTGCACTGATTTGAAGTTTGGTTAATTTGCAGCTTATATGTTACCCTGGAGGCCATTAAGAGAAGCAGTTACCTCTACTTTCTTTATGTTGCTAATAACAAATGGAAGACAATATAACTGATCGCAGGAAGTTATCAAGAAGGATCGTGTGAACACTCTAAGGCTTACTGGTTTTATTTTTGGTCACAAGTGCAAATGAACCCTCGCAAAGATACTGCGCCAGTGCCTGGCTTTGGGTCCAAAAGAAATAAATTTTTATAGAAGGGCTTTTTTGTCAGCTTATGAAATTGTTCATCAGTGCTATTAAATGATCTGAATTCGACGGGAGGGATTTAGTCTATATCTTACTATCTTAGGGTTTTTGCAAGGAATGTGGTAGAAAAACAGCGAAAAATCGCAGATAGAAGGGTATCTGCTGGTGTGCCACTGCAACCAACATGTTAAATTGTCATATAGGAAGATTGTTTTGAGATACCCATTGTACACTCTTTATTGCAAAATTATATTCGTCTCTGTTTGGGAGGTGTAAAACGCTTCGTTATTAGTTCAGTTGAAGAAAACGTTTTGTCTCGGTGTAAAGAAGCTCTTAAATATATGGTAAAAAGAGCTATTCACTTGCTTGAAAAACCTTGACTACATAGAGAAATTTGCTATACAAAGGAATTCATTATAGAAAAATCTATTTATAAGAAAAAAATTTTTTTACATAAATTTATATGTTATATAATTTACAATAGATAATTAACTTTTTCCTATATATATAACATAACTATATATTAAATTATAATATTTATATAAATAGAATATTTATATATTATTGTAAATTTCATAACTTAAAACTTTAAATATTTAATCATTTATAAATATTCTATATATAAATATATAATTTTATTAAATAAGGTTAATATAATAATTGTTTGATATATAAATATAAATTAATAAATTATTTATATATTTGGCAATATATAAAATATATAAAAAAAATTGACAAAATTGTAATTGCAGATGAGTGTTCGCTGTAGAGGGGTCCGGCTATGGTTGTATTATAGTTGTATTACTACACATTCTGAGTTAAATCGTTGCTTTTAATATTTATTTTCAATTTGCAAGTGATTTTTAATTGTTATTTGCTGTGTGTTTCTAACTGGAGTATTCTTTATGTGACTTCTTTAGATGGTTCTTTTCCTTCTTGATGTTACCGTAATTCATAGATCATACAGTTTAAATACATGGAGTTATAAGTGAGGCAAGCACTACTGTTATGTTCTAAAGCCAGTGCTAAAGAGTAATGTCTTAATAATCTTATACTTATATTAAAAAATATTCAAAACAATGGCTGTTTTTAAAAAGCCTGTTAAATGATTGTTTTTTATTTTAACAGAAAATGTGTGATAAGACCTATCTCGTAATAATAACATATATAATAATAATCCTTATTATAATAATCCATTAAATTTGTAAAAAGATTGCATTTTATAGGAATAAAAAATGCTTATAGTGGATCACATTTTTTTCTGCAAAAAAAATGTTTCCATAAAATATTCGAAATATTCGTGAGTCACATTAATATAATAGATCCATAAAAATTTCTTATTATATTTATGTTTTGAAATATGTATATTCAAATTATGAACTACTTGAAATTATATTAAGCAACTGACTACTCACAATTAACCTTCATTACGACATTATTTGACAGAAACGTTATTGCACATAATTTTACATAAGCCATGGAGTAAATATTTCGAACGAAACCAAAAATTGAATTACTCATTCCCAAAAAGTGACTGTGTGGGTTGTGTGCTGCACAATATTAGCAACACTGAGTGGGGGGTATACGCAAAGGTAACACTTTCTTGCAGTGAGCAGAGATGATCATATAATTGTTGTTGTTGTTGTTGGTGTAAGTGGAATTATTTTTTAAATTTTAGGAATTTCGAAATATACATATATACTGGTACGTACGTACCAGTAAATATCACTCATTCATCCGCTATATGTAGTATATAGTGTTTGTGTGCTCCAATTTGTTTTAAATCAGTCAAAAGATTTTTTGTTGAATGAGACGATCTTTTCAGCACTCTTTACTTTTGGTTTTGGGTTTTGCAGAGGACTACATATGTACGTACATATCTACATGAATACAATGCTCCATGTCGTATAGAAAAATTTCAATTTTTATTGCGTTTCGAATCAGCTTTTGGATTTTTTGCTTTTTAACGATTTTGATGACTTGACTTACTTGTTCGTTGCGGGACTGAGACTAAGGCTGAGATACAGGCTTATATAAATACACTATTTCATACATTCGGTTCCATACACTGAAATCGCTGATATTGTTGTTGTTGTTGCTCTTGCTGAGGTTGTTGTTGTTGTTGTTGTTGGTGTCGCGAGGAGTACATAGTCACTCACTTCGCTGTCAATGAACGCTGTTACATTTCACTTTCGTTTCGTTATTAGCCAGCAAACAAATCAACAAATCAACAAATCACACATAACCAGAAAATAAGAAATAAGAAATAAGAAAATAAGCCGCAACATCGGCTTCAACGAAAGCTTCAAGTTTTTGTAAGTAAGCATGTAAGTTTTTGTAAGTACGATCGCATGCACATATGACTGACGTGATAATGAATTTTTAGCGGCGCTTTTATTAACTATTTTACTGTTACCGATTGTTGATCGAAGTGCGGGAAGCGCGTTTGCTTTTTCGATATCTGTTTGTTTAGGCTAATTATTATAAATTTTGTAACATTTAACAAAGAAAACTCGTTTAATTGTCTCACAGTTTCAGTTTAGTATTTGTGGTATTTGAAAAAAGTTGAAAAGTTGAAAATGTAAATAAGTTGCCTGTGTTTGGTGTAAAAATATATTGCGAAACATTAATTAAACGCCATTTTTGTTTTTGAATTTTTTTTTTTTTTTTTAAGAGGACGGTGCTATAATTTTCAGCCTCGTTACCTATCGCTCGGTTTATATATGGTAATTTCACAAACAGTTACCTTCAATTAATTGTCGAACGAACGGAACTTTCGTCACTTCGTGAATGTGTCGGTCGGATTTATAGTATTAATTTAATTTAGGGAATTGCAGATTACGCTGCAATATGTCAAGCCCTTTGAATCATGTGAACATAATTGAATTAAACTTTTTGAAATTATTTTTTCTAACCTCTGTTGTGTTTGTCCCAAATATCAGAGGTTACGACGCAGCGTCTAATTATAATGACGCCTATAATTATGTGATTACGCCAGATTTACAACAGGCAATTAAAGCGGGACTACCTCAAAAGGCTAAATTTTTTGATGAACTTGATTGTGAGTACCGAACTCGATATATATTTAAGCAATATTATTAAAAATGCATTTGAGAGACAATATAAACATATCAAAATAGTAACACAAAGTAAAACAACGCGCTTAGTGCTTTACATATTAAAATTGTGTGAGATTATTATTAATATTATTATTTTAATTAATATAGCAATGTCTAACTAGAAAGTTTTGTAACTCATATAGGTCTCGAACCCTTTGGAATATTGTTAGAGTATTTTCTTTATCTCCATTTGGTTTTAATGAATGACCACATAAGATTTATATAGTGACATGTCTCGCAACCTAAATCGTTTAGTAACTATGGCAAAGAGAGCGGGATTTAATATTAATGTTGTCAAAATAAAAGTTTTGTGCATTAATGCTAACAACTGTTGTCCTGAGGATATAGAGTCTTTCTGCTATCTTGAAAGCATCATATCAACAAATGTTGGATCCAGTGCTGATATCGAGAACCGTATTAAGAAGGCAAAACGAGCGTTTGGTCGTTTAATTAAACTCTGGAGATCATCTCAGTTATCGCGCCGAATTCAAATACGAATATTTAACTCCAACATAAAATCTTGCCTTCTATATGGATGTCAATCCTGAAATACTCCCGCCTTTAAGTCACCTAAGCACCTATAAGAACTGAAATCAAAAAACGCAAATGGGACTGGGTCGGTCCCATTTTTAACCATTTTCAGCTCTATCAATTACTAGAAAAGGAACGCATCTTGAAATTAATTCTATTCCAAGAGAGATAGATAATAATAAAATAAGTTCTCATTCATTTCTTTTATATTCTTCAAAGCTTAATATAATTGCCAGGAAAAATATAAGTTTAAAAAAATTATCAAACTTTATGCTATCTTTAGATTATTGCACTTAACTGGACAAATATTTAGCTATATGTGTCATTTTTTATACAAAATCTACACACAAAAAGCACATAAAATATGCTTAACAGGTTCGATAAGTCTAAGTGTAAACATAGTTTAAATAATAAACATAAACTGAACATTATTGTTCAAAATTTGTGGTGATATATCTTTTTCAAGTGTTTCGCCGATGCAATTTCTTTTTCTTGATTTTTAGGATCCATTTATTTATTTTATAATACTATATATGTATTAATTGTGCTGTTTGAAGTTTCATGGTAACGATTTAAATCCATTAAACGAGTATCGTTTTGTAAAAATTTTGAAACGGTTTTCATCTATTTTTTAAGAGTTTATAACATATTGAAAAAATCATTAGAGTTCGAATTAAAAAACGTTAAACTAGATAATTGCTCTTCATTAATTTATTAGACTCTAGTGTTAAAATTATTGTGATTATCTAATGCAAAACAGTTTTAGAAGGTGCTCAACAATACTAAAACATAATATAGTATTGAAATGGTGGTAAATGATTTTCTTCATGAATAGATAAAGACACAACAGATGGATATTCGTGCAGCGTCTGGAATCAGAACCATAATTCTGTTCTAAAGGCAGCTATATCTTAAATTCAAAACACAAATTCAAATAAAATAAATATAGCATTTTCACGAGTAGTACTATAATTGGACCGAAGCATTGTCAACAGTTTTTTAATTGAGCGAAATCGGTTAATTATGTCCTATTGAATCATATCCAAGATTTTTAGACTGTTTATAAAGGAATTTAATTACAATTAGTTTTGGATTAATACCGATTTAGAAGAACTATTTTGAGATCAAATAGTATAATAAAAGTAGTTTGTAGCATAATTTTTTATATGTCAAGGAACACGTCGCAAATTTTTCTTTTGCTATTCAATATTGTACATTTATCAAATGTAAAATGTTTGTTAATGAATTACAAATAGATGTGAATGGTGATTTCTTTTCTTTTTCCTAAATTATTAAAGTTTTATGTGATAAAAAAAGTGATATAATATAATAATACTAATTATATAATTTTAAAATAGTTGATTGTACTCATTAAAATTTTATACATACATAGTCACATAGTCATAGTTCCATCCTAATAAACATAATAATAATATCCTATAATAATTGATATATGTAAAATTAACGTGATAAAATTAAAATAAATTAAAAAACTTAATTATTTTTGCCAAAAGCACCAAAAAGACGCTTTACATATAGTACGTAAAAATGTGCATAACAGATGTCTCTGCAAAAAAAAAGCTTTGAAATAAAAACAGGAAACCTCAATAATTAACTTTCAATTCGTTGAACTTGTATTTTCAAATAAAGCTATAGTTTCTCGTTCGCTCGTTCTAATTTAAAGCACGGCAAAGAAAAAGTGACAAGTGATAAAAAACCTGGAACTTGAACATTGAAAATTTGTGCAGCCTTGGCTACTTGTGGAAAAACACGATTACTTACCACGTTTTCTTGGTCAGCCAAATTTCAATAAATTAAATAAATTTTTGTCCTTGTCTTTCCTTTGCTATTCGAATCCTCCGAAAATAAATTAAGATCAACATAAATTTAGTAAAACAGACTTAGAGGTTAAGGTTAGTACGCTACATATGGTAGTTACTATGTAGATGAAATAAATAAATGTCAGCTAATAATGCATCTTACGCTACTACAATTAGCCTTTATAAATATTATCATAAAGAATTTTATCTTAAATCATTATTTCAATATGTCCACAGTTTACCTTAACCAAAAAGAGAACTAAAAGATGAGACCCAAGTTAAAACAATTTAACTTGTTAAAATAATATAATATAGTATTTTATTAAGTTCAATGCCTATCGTTATATGTGACTATAAAACATGTTGAAGTATAACATATAATAATATATATTATTAAATTATTTTTTTAAATTTTGTTACTCTAGAACAAATATCTATTTAAAATATTTTTCTAATCGAATTAAATTTTAACATATAGACATCTAATCATGTGGTTATAATCTGAAAACCTTTCTATTATTTTCTACCGAAAAGAAATCTACCAATTTCTGGATTGTAAAAAATCTGAAATTCATATAATTATTCCTTAAATATGTTTAACTGGCAATATTTTAATAACTTTGTTGCTATGTTATTATTTGGGGTTGAGAAGAAAAATTTTGTTTAATATATCGGCTTAAATAACTTACAATCCTGCCTCCAATTTCCGCAATAAAAACTGCATTTATTTAGTGCTATTTGGGATATATAGCATGACTAGAGGTTATGTGTTTCTGAGAGATAGTAATAACTGAGCATGGAAATGGAGAGAAAATTAACTTTCTATAAATCGTTCGAATGCATTGAAAAATATACAATTTGTTAATTTTTAAAATGAGATTCAAAATTTAAATTTGCATAGAAATGTGCGGAATATGTAAGTACGCCTTCTCGGATAGTATTTTCTAGTTTTACTTTAACAAATGCTTTCATTAAATCAACAAAATAGGAGTGCTGAGTAATATACTAACTTAAATTATCGCATAGCAAAATCAAAATATATTCTAAAATATGTTTGGAACACCAGAATTTCGAAGGCAATGGGCACATGGCCGAGTGTTTTCCAAACTGAAATCCACGCAATCAATTCAAGCAAGATCCAATGTCCTCAAAAAACTGTCTGGCTTGAGAAATGTTATTTACTTTGACAGCCACGCTGCTCTTAAAGCTTTGTTTTCTTGGACTTTCAAGTCGAAGCAGGTCCTTGAGTGTTATGAGCTCCTACAGTTACTTGCAGCTCAGAATAAGGCAAGCCTTTACTGGACTCTGGATCACGGCAGTTTTGGGAAACGAACAAGCTGTTGAGTTAGCCAGAACTGCATCAAATACTGCTTTCACAAGCCCTCAACCTTTTTGTGGGTTAAACTAGGTCATTACAAGACAAATTGTCATTGAGAGGGATAATCATATGTGGTTGGAGTACTGGGAAGACTTCCCAGGACTAAGACAAAGCAAAGCACTGATAAAACCGTACTCCTACAAAAACATTCTTAAATTCTCAAAATGTAATTTAAGGTTGATAACGGATTTCATTACAGGTCACTTGAAATATCACCTTCATAAACTACGATTATCTACTAATTCGGAATGCAGATTATGCCTCGAAAATGAGGAAACGACCATGCACATTCTTTGTGACTGTCCAGCTTTAATAACGCACAGAAGAAACTTATTTCATATGGAATTTCTGTCACTAGAACAGATTAAGATTCTCTAGATTTAGTTCTGGACTTTGTTTACAAAGCTTTAAAGGGTTTTGTGTAATCAATAGTATGGCTCTTCTGGCCGTAGTACCGACTGTTGGGTGATTTCACGTTAAAACTTTAATATGATTTACTGTCTCTAAAGAAAAACTTTGTTTTACCTTAACAGCGCACCAGTTCAATGTATCAATAAAATTAATCGAACACATTATGAGATACTACCACATTTAACATATTCAATAAATTTGGCTTCGAATCTTTCCAAGTTTGAAAAAATGGCTTCTGGGAATAAATTTTAATCGGACTTATATGTCATCTCTATAATAATGAATAAATGAGCTCTCCAAAAATATTATTTTTCCGGAGGTACAAAAAATTTCAATATCGTTGGTATTTAACTATTGGTTAAATACAGCTCAAATGGGACTTTATCAAAAAAAAAAAACAAAGGAAGCAAAACCTTTTTTTTTGTATTTATTTCTGACTACTTACACAGTACTAGTATATTTATAGACAAGATTTAATTTATAGGTTGCTGAGTTTTGGATCCAATATCTATGTAGAATACCCATTTACCTAACCATGGCAACTATTAGTAGGGAGGCGTCGAGCGTTGAAGGAGAGATTTCTATAGATTTCAGATAGAAATATATTTTAATAATACATGTATATTCTATAATGCTACTATGTAAGCATAAATCTTTTTTCTCAGTGTTTAGTTGATCATTTTAGTGGATCATTTGCATTGCAGACTAAGCCTTGCGAATTTAAGAAGGAAAAGCAGAAGACAAATATACATAAATGAAAACAAAAAATAAAAATGTGTAAAAGCGACTTTACAAGAAAATT